ACTACTTATCCTGACAGTTTAATAATAATGAGGAATTAGAAAGGACAGTTGCACAGGAAAGATCATGGTGACTCCATAGAGGATGGAATATATCCCACCACTCCACTGATCAAAGTCTGAAGTCTTCTTCCATCTTAAGAAGTCTTCCTCCAACTTAAGTAGCTCTTCCTCTAATAGAAGTAGTTGGAGGAAGTACCAATAAAGCTGGAGGAAGGCTAGGGTACATGCGAATAATCTTCTGAGTATCTAACCATTTCTTTCTTGACATAAAATAATCTTCTGTTTCCCCATTGCCCATCAGCATGCATTCCTAAGATGACCCATCTTTGTTTTGACACCGTATTATGACCAGAGCACAATCATCACTTTGTCTAGACCAGTATAGGCTTGTGACACAGGTATACACATCCTGTAATATAATCCCATGAGTCATGACATTTTAAAGATCTTTTTAATATCTGAAATGATAACATATAATGTTAATGGGTTTGCAGCATACCACAGGCCCTCCTGAATTGCAAATGTATCCTATCTTTGTTTTCCATTCCCACTCTGGCCCTGGTTTTCCCCACTTTGCTCCTGGATATGAGTTCTATGAGAAGAAATCACACATCTCCTTTCTTTGAGAGCCGCTTTCCATGCTCATTGTGATTATTGCTCCTACATTCAGTTGGCATCAGAGAGATTGCAAGATGCATTATGCAGTACAGATTTTTTGTTTATACCCTTCTAAAAAGGGATGGGATGGTGGTGGCAAGGACCTTGATGAGTCTGTATTTTCAAGGTTTGTGTATTATCTATGGAAAGCCTCTTAGATAATTTTCCTGGGTGGCATTTATTTGTAGGGGCATGCAATTCCTGTGTAAAAGGTAAATGTAAAGGTTCCCTTGCTCGAAAGCCAGTCGAATCCGACTCTAGGGTTGTGGTGCTCATCTCCATTTCAAAGCCGAAGAGCCAGCGCTGTCCAAAGACGTTTCCGTGGTCATGTGGCCAGCATGACTAAACACCAAGGCGCACGGAATGCTGTTACCTTCCCACCGAAGCAGTACCTATTTATCTACTTGCAATTTCTTGCTTTCGAACTGCAGGAGCTGGAACTAGAGACGGGAGCTCACTCCACCATGCGGCACACTCGGGTCTCGAACTGCTGAACTACCGACCTTCTACAGCCTGCAGTTCAGCGTCTTAACCACTTGAGCCACCACAGCTCCTAATTCCTGTGTACACCACTGAAAATTCCATAAACTACCTTAAGACATATATTAGCATATGTCACCATGGGGAGTGCTTCCCCTTCGATCCTCAGCTATATATAATGCATTGTCATAGATAATATATCAATAAATTAGGTGGCAGATTTCTCTAATGTAGCTGATAGGAGAAAAACAAACTCTGGCCCTGGCCACACATGCTGGAAAACGCAGGGGGGAGGTGTGACTATTTGCGCCATCGCATTCTGACCCGACATTAGGTGATCAGACGCGACGGCGGCACACTGGGGCTTTCTCCATCGGCGCGTGTAGCAAAGAGGACAACCCGGGGGAATAGCCGCACACTGGTGCGATCACACCGCAGGAAACTGTATGCAGCCCATGGCAAACCATTTGCCAGTAGGTTGTTTCAGGTACCTTTTAAATGCACATCTTCAGTGGCACGCCACAGGTTGGCCACGGGTGCGCTATGCCTCCCAGATGTTCCGGTGTGATCGCACCCGGAAAATCCGCCCGACTATCGTGCCTTCTGCGGGGCAAATGCTCCATGTGAACAGGGCCTGAGTTTGCAAACAGATTTAGAACTCCTATATGGGAACTTATCGGTAGGTTGGAGAAGGAGAAATCTAACTTGATCCCTTTACATAGATATTGAGAAAGATTTGGAAGTCTGGATAGTATATTTCGATCCTGGAGTTAAACTGTGACATCTGTTCATGGGTGTCTCTAGTCAATCCTGTGATCTCAGCTTCTTGTTGAACAAATCTGGGACATAATTGGGCATGTTCATTCACTGCTGCCTATGTTATCAAGTAAGAGCTCGATGGTTCCATGAGTCCAACAATGGTTAAAATGTTCTCTTGTTCCTATGTTCATTGTATTGTGTGTTTGGGTTGTCATGATCACTGTTGACTTGGTAACCACGTGAAAATGTTTGGTGTGATTCCGTGCTTCATCCATGTTTTTGTTGATTTTTGAAAATGTAGTATTTCTTATTATGCAATTATATTGGCATGCCATTCAAATGGTATTTCTTTCCAATTTTCATTCTAGTAGTTTACGAAGTATTTCATTGCTTTTCCATGTAATTTTCAATAATTCTTCCATTTTGGCAATATCAAGTGTTTGAATTTCAGCAACTTTCCAATGTCTAGTTAAAACAATCTTTGCTGCTATTTTCAGGTTTTCAGTAACTAATCTTTAAATGCAGGGTGTTATCAGAAAAGTAAATGATTTAAAATTTAAACCATGAGCTGCCATCAGATACTCTTTTGCAAAAAAAAAAAATCAAATTGCTATTCCACTGGAATTTTTTTGTAAGGGGTTAGATCCAGAAGACTTTGAGTGTAGCTCTGCTTATGGAATTGATCTTTCCCACTTACTTTCAGGGAACACAGAGACTGCAGCTATACTGTGCTACCTGAAAAGTAGCTCTGGGGATCTGAGAGAACCCTTGAGGACAATGCAAGATATATAACGTGGGCATCTGCATTAAAAAGCAAGAATCAGTGAAAAAACCCTGCCTCTGTTACTTAGAAAAGAGGGGATTCTGATCTAACTCAGGGACTTTGATTTGAAATCTCTGATTTGTGAGAAAATGAGAGAGACTCCAGATTTATTTTTAAAGGGAATGGTTATTATGCTGCCAGAAGAGGTCTTACCTTATGGATGCCAAGTTCTAGTTGCATAGATATATTTTGCATTCATGTCTTACTTTGTCTAGTTGTTGATGTTTGCTTAAATTAACTTCTCCCTTTGCTGATTGGTCCTGTAATTCTTGTGCATACAGTGATGTTTGTGGAGAAAATATTCCCTCCCACTTCCTAACCCCCAAGTCTGCAAGCCTTTAGCTGGTTCTTATCAAATTATTGCAGCTGTAATTAAAGCACAATGAATTAGAACCAGACATGGGGTTGAGTCCTTCCCCAAGAAATAATTTGCCCAGATGCCTGAGATGGCTGCACTGATTTTAAGTCATGTCCTTGTGAAGTGCATTGGTCAAAAGACATATTCATTTTTCATCCTCTCACAAACAACCATGCAACCAGCATGTTAAAGAGGCAGTCTTGTTCCAACCATGTGGGCTATGTGCAAGTCCCAGTTGTGATTATTGTATTTACTTCTAATGTTTCACTTTGGCATTACACAGAAGGGGTGGCAATAGGTTATCCCTGTGGATCCTTTTAGGCCTAGTGTGCAAACAGCCTGATCCACAGATGAGTTATATGGCAGTCTGATTGATATGAGCCAATTTAGTCCAATTGGAGTTGACGTGATGGATAACTGGCCTTAAACTGAAGTAATTGCTTCAGTTCTAGTCTGCTCTAGTCTGTTGACTAGAAGAGTTTATTTCTTACTGTGTGCTGTAGGTCACCTTGCACACTTTTGAGATTTTGAGGAGAAAAGCTGGAACTCAGCTTGAGTGGAAGCCTCATAAATGCCACCTCTTCAGGGGCTGATATGGAAAACAATGCATATGTTATAGCTGTGGCATTATTGGCGAACAGTTTTTCTGCCTGCTTGGAGACCTACATAGCTGTGATAACATATGTAAGCTTTAATCACATGGTTTGATAAATGCCACCTCTTCAGGGGCTGATATGGAAAACGATGCATATGTTATAGCAGTGGCATGACTATTGGCGAACAGTTGTTTCTGCCTGCTTGGAGACCTACATAGCTGTGATAACATATGTAAGCTTTAATCACATGGTTTGTCTACATCATGTGACTACTTCCTAGGCCAACATTACACACACACATCATAGCTGCTGGTGTGAGCTCAAAACTAAATGTACACTTGAGGTTTACATACATTATCGCCGATACAGTGTTTACATATATTATCACTGCATTGCTATGTGGACTATCAAACCATGAAGAAACAGATTTTCAAAATCGGCCATGCTACAACATATATATGTTAACCAAGTTTGGATTACAATTAATGTGAAGCACTCCCCTCAGGCAGCACAATAGGAAATAGTTTATGAACTGTTGTTTCGTTGACTTAAATGTTGGAGGATGGGGGAAGTGTTATGTGTATGTGAGACTGTCTGCATTGCAAAGCAAAATATAAAATAAGCAGATGAAATTTGAACGTGCTCAAATCCATGAGTAGCTTCGGAAGTAACAGTAGGCACAGTGCCTTGGACCCCCATTACTTTTAGGGGCCCACAAAAATGTTTTAATTTCTTTTAAAATCAGAAGGGAAAAATAAAGTTTTGGGGTCGAAGAAAACGTTTGAATGTTTTTTTCAGAAAAAAATGAAATTTTAGGACCCACAAAAATTAATTACATTTTGCGTAAAACAGGGGGAAAATAAAATGTTAAAATATTTAAGGTTATATCAAAAATAATTTTAGGAGGGGCCCATGAATGCAAAAGTGCCTAGGGCCCATGAAAGTCATAATGCAGCCCTGACTAAGATATTTGCTAACGGTATAAAAGTTACTTCTGATTCTCATGAAGGAGATTTGGATTGAGACTTAACAGATTTGTTTAATATTTTCACTTATTTACATGGGACTTCCTTCCTAATACATATTATCATATCCTTAAGGTTTGTTGCCACAAACATTTAATTTTCTAGGGTTACACAACTGGAATTAAGTGCTTCTAGAGTAATTGCCTTATTTTAGTACATGTTTTTCCCCCAAGCTGTTGCTCAGTGTAGTGTGTAAAATCCTAAATGTAGCATAGATTAATACACTGCTAGTAAATGTTTGGAATGGATGATCTCGTGCACAAAGTGACTTATTTTCCCCACCCCCTTGTCTGTTTTAACAGCTATATCTGGCATGATCGTCCCCCCCATGTGAAAGAATTGCCTTGAAGAATCGTACTAATGAAGAAGGTTGGATTCTGCTTCGGAACAAAATCTAACACAAGTCCCAGAGTGGAACTTATAACTCAGGCCTTTTTTCTTTTCTTTTCTTTTTTTAAAGAGGAAGTTCACAATATCTGCAAAGTTTTTAAACAAAATACAGTTTAAAGCCTCACCATCCTTGCAAAATAATACTGAAATTCATGAAGAATCTGGAAGTGCAAGGTGTTCATTCGAGCTGTCCATCCCAAGTACATGGGAGAAAGAATTATTTTGTGTCATGAAAAAAATCCATTCATGTCTTTTTTTTGGTTTTTCCAGCCTTGATTTAACTCTGCTGCCATTTGTCTGTTACAAGTCATACTGGGAGAAGGGGGGCGCTATTGCAGATGGCCCTTTTATTTAATTAAAATATTTTTAAAAGCTGCATGAAGAGAAGGCAAGTGGTAACACTTAAAAATGAGCTTGTACGGAACAGAAGTAGAAGTGCCAGATAGGGGTGGTTGTTTTCTTTCCTTAGAAGAATAAAGGGCCATGCCAGTTAAGGGTTGGCTCATGCGTGTTACTCATCCGGAGAAAGTTTGCTCATCTGACGTTTTGCATTCTTGGTATGTTTGTGTGGAGGTATAGATATATATTCACATACACACACACCATTAATTAGAATTCCAAGTCTATTTTAGGGGCAGTAAGACTTTTTTGCCCCTCTGTCTCTTAGAATATCATACTTAGGTGATTGTGTAAATAATGCAAGACAGAAAATTAGCAAAAGTGTAGCTAATGACATGCATATCCCAACGTTACCTTGAAAACCCAGTGCCTCTGGATATAATGCTGAAACTGCAGAATTAGATTAGCATGGCTCTCTATCTTTAGCTTATATCAAATGAGTGGCCTCTCTTACTCTCTCAAATGCAGTTTAACCCGTCTATGCATACAAATCTCTTTGGGATTTGATGCAACAGGATAAAGGCACAAATGTGAGCCACTTTTATACAATTTTTCTTTGCATTTTCTCAGCTAAAATATCTTCCATAGCTTGTTTCTGTGTTTTTTTCCTTTGGGGGGGTCAAGAAGCAGAGACAGGATTCATCCTGCCAGCCCACAAACGGCTCAGAAGCACACAAACACATTGGTTGGTTTAGAGCTTCGATTGCTTTTGTATTCATGAACCCTTTCATTTGGAAACATAATCTCTTAAGTAAAATGGCTTCTTCAACAGCAAATTAAAATATGAAAGAGAGCTGGAGAAGACAGAAGAGGATAGGAAGGTTACAGATCCCATCCTCACTTACAGGAATTTTGCTCCATTTTTGGGGAACTATTTGTAAGATACTTAGTCAAAGGTGCAGCAAACTTCAGAGGATGCATTACCCAGTTTTTTGTCTTTGCCATTGCGTTTTGTACGTAGTTATAAATAATGTAGATTTTGGGTGATTTTTTTTTGGCCAAAGTTATTGTTATATTTATACATTATAATGTCTTAAGACAATTTTTCAGTCACACACACACACAAAAGAATTACTGCGTATTTTGCAAAATGAGCTCACTACCTTTAAGATTGCACATGCTTGCAAATTGAATTAAAGAAAAAAAGCTTTTTTTAAAAAAGAAGGATTTTGTAAAATATCCATATAAATAATGTATTTATCTTTGGAATTTGTACATTGCTTTTTCCCCTGCAGCACCCCCTGTTTATTTTATTGTGTATGTTTGCTATGTGAAAAGTGCTAATTTGTTTGGTCACTCACAGGTGTATTAGCTGTTTAAATGTGACTTTAATACAATTCATTTATAGGGTTTTTTAGTAATTGTTTTCAACCATGCTTCCATTTTTGTTTAATTTCCACTCAAAAGCCATTGTCTATTTTTGTATTATTTGTAAGTTAAAAAGTTTTTTTCCAATATATGGCAAAAAGTAGCATATTATTCTTGTAGCATTTAGTTAAGTAGATTTTTTAAAAGTATCCTTTGCTTTTGAGGCTTATAAAAAAATCTAATGCTGTTTTACTCTATTAATATGCATGGAATCTCTCCCCTTTGGAGTGACACATTTTTGTGCATTAAATATGGGGAGAAACTTCATAGAAATCAATGAAAATACTTTCTTTCTTGTCTGCTTGTATATTTCTCTGTCTTTCACATAAATATAAACCAGCAGATTGGATGCCTTAACAATGCAAATCATATTCATTTCACTTGTACATTGTACTGCGCACCAGAACTGTCAATCATCACTAACATTCTAAGGAAAAAAATGGAATTTGAAAAGCACAAATGAACTGTTTTGTTACCTTAAGACAATGTGACTTTTTCTAGACAAGCAACAATGCTGCAATTGTGCATGCTTTCTGTATGAATTTTGCAATGGATTTCACTCAGATGTCACTGTGTGATCTTTTGGGAAAGGGAGTGGGGTGGGGGAGGACAAAGAGGGGGAAATTCCAAAAGGTTATTGCCAATGGAATGGTTAAGAACACATTTACACATAAAGAAACTGGAAAATATAAGGAATATCAATGTATTGCTTCTCTATAGTCCATACATTTATTCTAATTCACATAGTGAGCAACAGCACTGCAATGTAATCAAATTTAAAGCCATATTTTGTCCAGTCATGCCCTCCACTGAACCCCATTCAGACTGAGATGCACCTATTTAGACACCCATGCAAAGTCATGTCCATACGAATCCCTTTCTTTCAACGTCCAAAGATCCTTTGACAAAATGTAGAATTTGTTTCTATCTCCAGCTATTTATAGTGTGCTGATAAAAGGGAATCTATATTTAAAAAGTCCCCTCAGCCCCCCCTCCCAACTTTTGTGTAATTATTACAGATGCCGCTATTTACAGAATATGGCTTTAAGTGGAAATGATCATGTTTCAGTCTTTACCAAGTGAAGCCCCACACTGGCTGGGTTGTGTGAAGGATGCCTATTTCTTCTTCATTGTACCTGACTGCATCTAAAAAGAAAATCATCTCTGATTCTACTAATCTTTCACCTTCTTAACTAAACCTTTTGGAATAGATACACACACTGTACAGTCCTATTGTTAGAGAAAACTAACTACTGTAGAGATTGTTATAATTTTTTTGCAGAAACTCAAGCTGTAAAAACTTTTCAACTTTCACAATATTTAATTAAAGTTACTTCCTGTCTGTGAGTGCAGTTCCTGGCCTTGTATTTATTCATTTGGCTACCGAGTCAACAGGCAATTAGAAATGCTGAGTGAAAGCCAGCAACTGACCAGATAGACATGCCTTCTTTTCTATATTTTTATCTTGCAAAACATAAACCAACCGAAACAGGAGAATTAAAACTGCATATATTGAACTCATGGTAAGATTCTCCAAAGCTGTAAGTATGGGTGTTTGCAGAAAATGACTTTCATATTTCATATTTACAGATTCAAAGAGAATCACAATGATCTACAGATTCCAATGAGATTATTATTCGATTATTAGGAATGTGAGTGGGTCTGTGACAGACATTTTGACCGCATGGTTTGAAGGTTGTGGACATCATGCATGTGGACATCATGCATTGTCTAGATAGGCTGATAATGCTGGGGAGCAATCTGTAGTCATGGTGCACATTGGCATCAGTGATGTTGGGTAATGTAATCATGTGGTCCTGGACAGGTTCCACACTAGGGCCAGCTAGATAGGCATTTATCAGGGGTCTCAATGCGTGGATGAGAAAGTGGTGCCGGGAGGAAAGGTTTAGATTTGTTAGGCACTAGGGAACTTTCTGAGACAAGTCAAACCTGTACAAAAGAGACTGGCTTCACTTGAACCAAAAGGGAATCAGGCTGCTGGTGATTAATACCAAGAAGGTGGCAGAACAGCTTTTAAACTGATTCCAGGGGGGAAGCTAACAAGAGCTGGTGAACTTCAGGTTTGGGACAAATCAGTCCAAAGGGATGATTGTATAAACACTCATGGTAATACTGATGGAGTTACCTGAACGTGGGAGTGTGGGTAGGATAGTGAAGGAGGACCATGTGTGGTGACAAAGGGGCCGAGGGAAGCGAGGGTTGCTGGCGAGGGAAACACATTGTAGGTATCTATACGCCAATGCTAGAAGTCTCCAATCCAAGATGGGGTAGCCAGAGTGCTAGATGTTCAGTGACAATTTAGACATAGTTGGTATCTCAGAAACATGGTGGAATGAGGAAAATCTATGGAATGTAGTCATTCCTGGGTATAAGCTCTATAGGCAGGAAAGGGAGGGACAGGTTGGGGGAGGTGTTGTGTTGTACATCAAAGAGGGCATAGAATCAAATGAATTGAAAAAAACAGGGGAATTAACTCCCCAACAAAAGCAATATGGATGGAAATACTGGGTCCTAAGGCTAATTTAAAAGTGGGGGTGTACTATTGCCCACCTGATCAAATTCTTGAGGCTGATTTTGAGATGGAGAAGGAAATAAGTGAGGGGACTAAAGTAGATAATGTTATAATACTGGAAGACTCCTACTTTGACTGGGTAAACATGTGATCAAGTCACACTGTAGAAATGAGATTCCTAGACATAATAAATGACTGTGCACTGGAACAGTTGGTCACAGAGTCAACAAGAGGGGTAGTGATTTTAGTTTTGAGCTTGGCTCAAGAACTGGTGAGAGATGTAGAGGTCGTGACACCAATTGTAACAGTGACCACAATGTTATTCAGCATTAATATCAATTAAAAGTTACCCCTAAATTCCAAAACTGTAATTTTCAATTTAAAAAGAGGGAACTTTACAAAAATAAGAGGAATAGTTAAAAGGAAGCTGAAGAGGAAACACTAGAGAGTCAAATTTCCTAGAGAATGCTCAGAAACTACTTAAAAGTACACTAATTGAAGCCCAGATAGATTGCATTCCCCAGGTTAGGAAAGGCACTGCCAAGTCTAAAAGAATGTCTGTATGGTTAACAACGCAAGTCAAGGAAGCTATAAAAATTAAAAAGTGGAATGTCTGCCCCAATGAATTGAACAGAAGGGACCACAGGCTCTGGAAAAAGAAATGTAAATCAATAATTAGATATGCAAAAAGAATTTGAGGAGCAAGTGCTAAAAGCACCAAGACAAACAATAAATGCTTCTGTAAATATATCCAGAGCAGGAAACCAGCCAGAGAAGCAGTGGGACATTTGGATGACCAAGGAATAAAAGGATTGCTAAAGGAAGATGGGGAGATGTCCACTATGGAAAGTGTGGGGCATGAATCCATGCTACAGCCACTATTTTTAGGAAGGGAGTCTGAAGAACTGAGTCAAATTAAGATGACAAGAGATGAGGTTCTAGACCTACTGGGGAAATTAAAAACCAACAAATCTCCAGGTCCTCATGCCATACACCTGAGAATTCTTAGGGAACTCAAAAGTGAGATAATTGATGTACTAACCTGCATAAGTAACCTATCACTAAATTCAGCTGTTGTACCAGAAGACTGGAAAGTAGCAACTGTTAACATCTCTTTTTAAAAAGGGGTCCAGAAAGAAACCAGGAAATTACAGGCCAGTCAGCCTAACGTCTGCCCCAGGGAAGATAGTAGACACTGTAATCAAATATAGAATTATTAGGAACATAGAGGAACAAAGCCTGTTGAGGGGAAATCAACACGGCTTCTGCAAAAGGAACTCCTGTCTCACCAATCTTTTGAAGTTCTTTGAGAAAGTGAACAAGCATGTAGACAATACTGAATTGGTAAACATTATATACCTGGGCTTTTTAAATGGCTTTTGACAACAAACCTCACCAAAGGCTCCTGAGTAAACGGTTGGTGAGGCAGGACTTCCTTTGACTCAGGGGTCATGGGATATGAGTGTGGGTATTATTATAGATTAAAAATTGGTTAAATGATCAAAAGCAAAGAGTAGGAATAGATGGGCAGTTTTCATAATGGAGGAAATTAAGCAGTGGGGTCCCACAATAATTGGTATTGAGACCCGTACTGTTTAATTTGTTTATAAGTGATCTGGAATGCACTGGCCAGGTTTGCAGATGACACAAAATTATTCAAAATGGTAAAGTGGGAAAATGTGGTTTGTGTCAGTTTGTGTTCATGGCCGAACCATAAACCAAATCACAAACCAAATGAGGAGGTTATTT